AATGCTAGACACACTCATAGATACGCTGTTTAACTACCTGCAAGTGAATGACAGACACTGTTTGGCGAAGTACAAAGGCCCCAAATATACCCCAATGCCCCCTGCATTCATTTTGGCCAGACATTTCAGCAAGTGCCAGCGAAGCTTCAACGCCGAAATACAAAAGGCAGCAGCAATAACAACAAATGCATTGGCAAAGCACATAAAAAAAAGAACTATAGAGTCGACTGACTACAGGTGCAGTGGAAAATCTAGATTTTTAAAAAGGAAGAGGAGGGTTTGGGGGTTTTGGGGGTTCGGGGTAGAATTGGAGCTGACTAAAGCACACTGGATTGTTCCCACAGAGCTCCCAGACGCCTTCGTCACCGTCAACCTCTAATAGACTTTTCACGCTTCGGTTTTAAATTGAGGTGCTGATTTTTACAGCTGATACCTTTCAAACAATATATTTATGCACGGTTTGTATGTGAATGCAGAGTGTATAAATATACCCACTGTTTGTGGTGCCACGACGGATTTGTGTTTATGTAAATAGATCGTTTTGTGATCCAAGAACTAGATCTCGAAAGAGTTGTATTTATGCTTGCAGATCTTGTTTATCTTACACGTTTAACAGGTTCGTTTTGCGTTCATATTTGGGCCTTAATTTCCTGTAAATAATATATACATAGGAATGTATTAATATTATTTGCAAATGCTCCCTAAATATCTCCAGGTATCTTTTGGTCTATAGATTTTCATATGTTTTCTACCATTTCCCTTTTAGGTTTTACTTTTTAGAAGTTTAGAAGCAATTGCAAAACTTTTTCCCACAAAACGAGCATATTTATACGAAAGAGTTGCGAGAGAGTTTTTTAGCTTTGCTAGTTGAAAGTTTTTATTATTAATTGCAACAAAAATAGCGACCGCAATGGGCTGCCAAAAAGTTGAAATAGTTGCAGATGCGATGCCTTGCTAGATATCCAGGCCACAATCCATTGGATCTGTTTTTGTTTGGCAGGCAGAGCGTCTGAATGGCAGTCAGGCAGGACTTTTGCCAACAGCTGTTGGTGTGTGTGTGTTTTAGTCGAGGAAGACTAATAAAACAAATCGCATGTTTAGCCAAGAGTAGTAGGATATTTGGTCATTGAACCTGGCAACATCCTGGCAACCCTCGATAGCTGACCAAAGTCATTGCCTGTGGGGTGGATCGCCCCGAAATCCGATTGAAATTTTAAGTGCAGTGCAAATCGAGAAACGCAGTCATTCAGCCGCACACATCTTATTCCATTTGCCGCTCCCCTTCGAGGAGTTTTGGGTAGAGGGAACTTGGCGGAGGAAGTGGGCGTCACTCGGACATGGCCATGCAATTTGTATCCTTATCAGGACTAGCCGCATTGATTGGAACGCTGCTGCTCGTCCTGTGTACTCGTATTTATGCCGGCCGGAGCTTCCGACAGGCGCTACGTTTTATGGTCTCAACCCTCGGGTTTGTCTGGCACTTGACCAGAGTCAAATAAACAATGATGACAGGGATAAGGCTCTTGAACAAAGGAACTGTCCCGAGGGCGCTCATGTTCAAGTTATGGACGTGAGAAATCCTCGAATAATTGGAAACGAGCATTTTCATTTGTCGCACGAAGTGCAGAAAAATAAGTGTAATCCTGAAAGTAATCAAGGGGGAAATAGAAGATTAAACAAATTGCTTGGCGAACACTGAAATAATTAGCACAGTAACTCTTAATTTGTCTTTAAAAATAATGATTCTCTCAGAAGCCTAGGAAAAATGGAAACTTCAATTTTGAGCTATTATACTAATTAGCAATCTATCATTTTCTTGACGCAGAACTATAAAAAATAATCAAATAACGTTTTTGAACCATTAAGAAGCTGTGAATAATGAAATAGTTGCGTGAGGCCATTAATTTGAATAACAACTTTAGCTTTGAGGAAGAAAAACAATAAAAATTGTTTTTTAAAGACCCATAAAATATCTATAAATTATGTAATTATTGGTAGAGTTAATGAATCTTCCCCTAATGATTATGAAATAAGTTGGCCTTTAAAAGCATATTTCCCATGAAAAATTTTAACGCATTTTTTAAAAAAAACTTTCAATTGTGGTTAAGTCCGGTGAAATTCCTTGGCAATAGGGGCGTTTCCAATTTACGGGTCACCGAAAAAAAGTAACCCAAATTATAAACGACCTCGATCCGAATAATGTTTTAAAATATATTTTGAATATGTTAGTTCCTCCAATCAAGTAAATCCCTACTTAAATGTAAATCCCTTGGTTTTGGCTTTAGTTTCTTGGTTTCCGCGTCACCTTTTCAAGTCCCCGTTTTTAATGTTCGTGGAGAAATGCGAAACATTTTCATTTTCAGAGCCCAGTCGCTTCTCATTCGCGAAATTAAATGGCGCTTTTAAAGTCAAATGAAGGGTAACCCAAACAAAAAAACAAAAAAAAAGGCGAAAATATGGTTGGGGGAAAACACAAAGGAGCCCAAAAACGTTTTGACTTGTGCCTAAGAGCTGCGGTCTTGACTTGTAGCTGCAACTTGATGTTGGCTGGTGGAAAGGTCAAGGATTATTATACTTCATCATAACTCTATTAAGCCCCGAAGTCCGCAGCGGTTGGCAATCTCCGGCTTACTGGCTGCCTGACTGCGCATTTGTTTGTATATTGTTATTATCTTTTTATGCGGCACACATGAGAGATCTACAACGGCAGCAACTGTTGCAGCACAGCAGCAACATCAGCAGCACAGCAGCAACATCAGCAGCAGCAGCCACAGCAGCAACTTCCCCACATGAGGCCGCCTGCCACTCTTGGCTCGATTCAAAAAGCTCCGCTGCTCGGTGATAGTTTTGTCTTTGAGCATTACTTTTGTGGGAGTTTTGTTGTTTAGTTTTCTATTACATGAAATTAAGTAAAAGTCCCAAAACGAAAGCCGCCACCCGAAACAACAAAAAAAAAAAAGAAAAATAGATAATAAAAAGACATGAAACGACATCAAGAGCAGCCAAAAAGCGAAACTTCAAATTCAGCCCGGGGAGAAAATGACTTTCATACGCGCGACACACAGGTCGGCGTGAGCATTTGATTTGATTATTAAAAGTTAGTTTTGCATTACTTCCGAGAAACGAGAAACCATGGGCAGTGAGGCACTGAATCACCTCGAAGCGAAGCGCAGGTTCCATTCCAAACCAGATCCCTTTGATCGATGGAAAGCCTCTATAAGTAGGCTGTTGATGACTGTCTCTGGCATTTTGTCTCGTGTCTTGCAATGATGCAGCACTATAATTACGATGGCGGTTGGGGGATGAGCTGCACTATAAGAAAATGCTAGGATTTTGATTTAAATTAAATAAATAAAAGTTTAATTATGAGTCAATTCATCTACAATAAATCCGTCAAGAAGTCTTGAACATTCGCTAAAGAAGTGTTTTTAAGGAAATTTAGGTAATAGAATCTAACTTCAATTAACCTATTTTTTTAAAGGGTTCAAAGGTTGGTAAAAAAATTTTTCTTTATTCTAATAATTTAAAAATATTGGTTTATGAACCTGAAAATATAATTCTAGAAGTTTTTAAAGGTTTCTTATCCAAGTTTCTTTCTACAAATGGCAGTTCTATTGGTTTTACCATCCTAAATCTTCCTTCTTAACAATCCCTAATCCCCTGATTTTCTCTGAGTGTAAGATGAGCGCCATCTGGCGGCGCGTGACAGCCGAAGCCAAAGTAAAAGCCTGACGGGCAGGCAATGACGAGTTAATTTCTTCGCCTTCTCATGCATTAATTGAGCAGCCTCAGGCGGAAGGTTGGCCTGGGCCTGGATGGGCATCTAGCCATCGCAATGGAGGTGGAGATGGAGTTGGAGATGCAGATGCTGATGGCGATGGAGGTGGATAGAAGGAGAAAGAGAGTCATCCAACTTATATAAGCGGCATACCAGAGCCAGGCGACATTAAAGCCAAGAGGAGTGACCACAAGAAATGGCAATCCATGGGGAGATGCCAATTTCCCCCGCTGGGATTCCCCTTGCCTGGCCCATCGACAAAAAGGTCAAATCGCTCAAACTGGATGATGTTCATTAGCGACACAGAAAGCCACAAAGCGTGAAACTCCGGCGGCTACATCATCGATCTCTTGGCCTTTCGTTCGCAATCCTCACTCGATCCCTTGGTTGCATTGGTTCCATTGTCCACGGCTTTCTGCTGTGACTCTCGACCCTTTTTGTCCGTGTTTACATCAAAAACGTGCCTCAAGTGTTCCTGTCACTGCACAAATTGGACATTTATTTGCTGCCCCAGTCACCACTTTTTCCGCACTCCTCCCACATTTCTTCCCCTCTTTGTCTTTTCTTTTTTTGCAGCTTTTTCCACGGAAACCTTTTGGCCAGAACGTGTTAAGGATTTCGTTTCGTTGCAATTCGATTCGGTTTGGTAGCCCAAAAATAAATTCCCAGCGATGAGACAGCGGCTTTTCGGTTTCGTTTTTGTTGTGCATTTTTTCTTTGATTTAGTGGCGCCACCCCATCGCTGGCTTTTTTCGGGGGAGTGGCAGCGATCCGCTTTGGCTAATTGACGGTTGCCAGCCATCAGGTTAAAGCCGCTGCAACGCCCACAGATGGATAGCTCTTTAAGCCAGACAGCACCACACCAATTATGCCACGCGGTGCTCTGCAATTTGTCAATTAGCTGATGAGATGCAGACTCCCACTGGAAATGGCTGTAAAGACCAGTGAAACCCGCCACGCTGACCTGTTACGAAGGGCTTCCTGAAAAGGGTGGTTCAATTACAATGCATTTCCCTCTTTGGTTTTTGATTTGAAGGGGGAAATTATGATTAAAACATAGAAGTAAAAGCTTTGACTTTGTTTATTGAAACTAGTTTACATGGCAGTATTTTAAATCTTTTAATTTGTGTTAAAATATTTGGAAATGTTTTACTATATAAATACGATTATTTTATTAAGGAGTTATATTATTATTTGCTAAAAATTAACATTATTTTTGCAGAACTTCCTGGCTGCTAATGCGCAATGCTGGTGGAATGGACCATTGACTGCTGCCACAAGAGCCCTGAAATACGCAGGACATGTGGCACCTGGAATGCTGCTGGTTACGGCTGAACCCTGTGCACTGGAGGTCCTGCGAGGAGCCTTCGCCCGGAGTGTCCTGAAACCGCCAGCCACCTATGTGATCAGTTCAGTGGGTGAGTTTCGTGTTCGATTTAAGCAAACCAAGAACTTAGTTTCGGGGGAAACTCAATTAAAATTAAAAAGTTTTGAGGGATATCAAGAGGGCAATGGAACTTCCAGTCCAGAAGGAAAAAAACTGTGTTTCGCGTCGCGATCGTCAGCGCGAATTGGCCAAACAGCGAATCCTTTTCTGGGCGGGACGTCTCCAGCTGTTGCCCCATGAAGTGGAGGGAATGTCGCAGGCTGAACTCAACCAGAGGTGGCAAGTTATAAAAGAGAGTGAGAAAGCTTTTGAGAGGCGGGAAGCTGAGTTCGAGCGGTGGAAACAACTTAGTCAGTTGAGATATCTCATGTATGAAGAGCAGAGAAAGTACAATGAACGTCATGGAGCCGATGGAACCTCCATCTGGGAAATCCTGGCCTTGGCACAGCAAGATCTTGAGGACGAACTCCAAATAGATAAAATTCGAGGCAGTTGTGAGCGATTTCCATCGCCAATGTTTCTTATGGAGGAGAAACGATATCAGGGTGGGAGATTAAATTCACTGAAACCTCTGAGATCAGTTCTGAATGGTTTTTATTCGGAAGGTGAAAAAGAAGTAGAGTCTGAAGAGGAACTGCAACTCAAAGAGGTCACTCGGAATTTACCTAAAAGCTGGCCAAGGAAACAGGGAAACCGAAAGGTCCAGACTCTGATTTCCACAACTGAAAGGTTACCACATAGCAATTCTTTCTGTGAGGAACCCTTTAAAAATAGTATTTTGGGTCTCTATAACCAAAAATTCAACCTTCATTCAAACAGTGAAATGTCTTTAGACAGCATTCAAGAATCTCCAGACTTGGGCTTTTGTCCTCTTTGCGCCAAAAGACACCTGCGATTGCCACCTCGTTTCTAAGACAGTCTAAATAAATCAAATGAGATACACTCCTGCCCTCTTTCTTTTTAATAAATTACCCTACACAATTAGAAAACAATTTCGAAAGGAGGTCTGCCAAATATTTTTCAAAAATTATGAAAATGAAAGGCATGCATTAAGCATTTTCCCTGTGTAATCGAAGCGACATGCACTTCATCAAATATTGATGTGTCTGGCCCGGGTTTATGGTCTGCTCCTCTGTGCCTCGTTAGCTGTCAATTAAGTGGACACCTGTGCCGTTAATGCGATGCTGCCGTTGCCCATTTCCCATTTTCCACCTTTTCCCCTCCAGCTTTTCACACTTCCACCTCGAAGGGGAGTTGTGAGGAGGCCAAAAAGTCCATTGCCAACACCACGAATTGATAAATGACCGGCCAGCCGGAGATCGTCGAAGTTTAAGCAACTCGACGGCCTTTGGCGAACTTTGTTTGGAAATTAATAAGCTGCGATTTGTGGCCACAACTCATTGCAGTATATTTATTTTCTTGGTCGGGGGGACTGCTGTCGGTTTATCTCTGTGAAATTCAATTGGGGAAATATCGCTGCGCAGACAAAGAGCCGCACTCTTATTGCACAGAATTGCAGACGGAGTGCAGCATATGGTGTGGTGTGGCCGGCAGAATCCGCTCCATGTTCGCTAATTAACAACTGCAATGGCGTAGAACCCATTAACTGTTAATTACCATAAACATGACATTTCCATTCGCCAACAAGGAGTCCAAACAATGTGCCACATTAGATACGCTCACCAAAGTCCTCTGCATCTGCATACAAAATAAAGGCTTTGTTGTAAAACAAATTTTTTTTAAGGTATGAAATAGTTATAAGCATGTAAAAGTATAAAAAACGGACTTTAATTACCAATAAAAATATTTTTAAAAAGGAACAAATTACAAAACAAAGGAACAAATTGGAAAAGTTGTAATACACGCCAATTTGAACATAAATTCCTGTCATATTCATAAACCGCACTTTTACTATTATTTATCGTACATGTTGTGTCCAAACATTGTCTGCCATTTTTACGGACAATGTTTTACAATTAGCCAGACTTTTAAAATGTTACAGCTTCAAACTAAAATAAAATTACAAACCAGCAGCCTGGGAATTGCCAATATGCATTAAATTCAAGCGTAGGCATAAATTATTGCCGCTTGTTTGGTTGCCACTCAATATATTTAAATGTTTAACAGAGTTTTTAACTGCACAATTTGGACACGAGTCAGCTTAAATATTTTAAAGACTTTTTTTAATTGAGTTTTAGAGAGCTTTCTTTCATTCATTTGTCATAGAAACTACTGGTTTTTAACCTGAAGAGGAAAAGATTTATAACTTGCCGTTGCAAACTGTTGCCAAACAATTGCAGAACGTTGATCAAATCGCCATTAAGCGAGACGAAGTGGGAAATAAAAGCAGCCATTGAAATGGCACTAACAATAACACTATAACAAATAATACCATTGCATGCAAAACAATCAATCAACGGCAATTTCTCGCTCAATTAGACAACAAACATGCCAAATAAATGCAAAAGAAACGAAGAAAAGCAAATTAAATTCAGTTTCGTGTTAAAGAGACTGCAGTTTCTGCAGTTTTTTTTTCTGGTGGGTGGGAAAACCGGGGAAGGGGAAAATCGGTGGAAAATCAGAGGAAAATGCCGTCGCTTGCCGCTTGGCAATTTGACAGCGGAATATCAGTGTGGAAGCGCCAGAGAAGCAAAATGGACAAAATAGACAAATGGCAAATGCAAAATAGCTGGAAAGCGAGAAAATTATGCAGTTCCCAGATGCTGGGAAAATTAAGGAGATATCGGCGGAGAGAAAAGAGGAGACGAGACGAGACGATAGAGAGCTGTCGGTAACTATGATGGCGAATAAAAAGTAAAGAGCCGCAAATCAATTTCATCACGATTTCTCGTCGCTGGATCTTGCTGAAAGTGAAATGTGGCCATGACAGTGGTGGAGCCACCTCATCCTCCTCCTCCTCCTCCTCATCCTCCTCCCCGGTTTCCCAAACTCATCGATGGCCGTCCGTCAGATAATTGTAACTTAATATTCGAGCCATTAACAAATCGCAAATCTGTAGAAATCAGCCAAGTCAACAGCAGGCATGTTGATGCCGCATACTGCGAAAATCGAGTGTCAGTTAAATGTTGCTAATGGCAACCACAGATGCAGATGCGGCATTAACATAAGATCTCAGATAATAGGGGGGAAAATGTTTACAAAACAATATGTTATATTATATTAGGAACCATTAATTATATAATAACCTTACTTCGATTTTTATAGATCTCAATTGCTGTTATAAAAAGAAATCTGATTCTGATTATTATAGAGAACAAAGCAATATCTTGATCTACAGATCTACAAGTGCTTTCCCGTTAAACATATTACCCGTATAAAAATTAATAGCTGGTTCTAAAACCTTTTTCTGGCTGTGCATTAATTTATAATTTCACCGTTAAGCTCTTGGCCAATTTCTTGAAAGGTTTGTTAACCTTTGTGTGTATGGGGAGAAATTCTCTAAAGCGTAACCAAGTTTGCCAAAAAAAAAGAAAATAGAAGAGAAGAGCGGGTGATACGATAGTCATTGTCATCGGGGAGTTGTCTTTGCAAGTTCATCATCATCATGGTCGCTTGAACACCGCCCCTTTGGAGGGAAAACCTCATCACCCCTTCGACGAGCATTACCCAAGCGATTATTGTAATTTTATTGTTCTCTTTCTTCCGAAGAGTGCTCTTTCCCCCGATTCTTCTGTCCACACTGATTACCACTTTACCCCGTTGAAACCCTTCGGTTAATGAGGTCAACCCATTTGATTTTAGCTCTTGGTTACGCTTCGCGGATTTTCCCCCCATTTGGCGGGAAAGTGTTCTGCGGAAAATCTTAGAGCTCCATTGTTTCTCCCTTGAACGCACCAAAAATGGCTGGCAATTTAGCCAAATGCGACACGATTCTTTCGCTGACATTATCCCATCATCTGAGGCTCCCAATTGGAGGTTGCACAACAGGCCACACAGGCCAAAAACGAAACTCTTGGCAGGCTCCCAGGTTCAGGTCCACTAACCCCAAACTCATTGACCTTTAACACACACACACACACACAACACACATACAACACACAACAGGAACGGCTAAAAGTGTCGCCAACAATTTTTTGTGTCTGGCTGGGCTTTAGTTTTGTTTCGTTACTTTGTTACTTTGTCTTGGCCAAATCGTGTTGCTCCTTATTTGCCAGGCTATAAAGCCGGTGGCCCAATGTCCGACTGTCTGGCATTTTGTTGGTGTTGTTGCTGTTTGTGTTGTTGGTGTTGCAACCACGTAAATGTCAATTTGCATTTCGTGAGGCGTTGCATAAACAGCAGCCTTGCGCTCCCCTCGTTCCTCTTGTTCCCCCACCAGCCTTGTTTTCAATTTGTTACTGATCTGAAATATTTTTATTAACAGACGGAAACAATTAGCGTCGCCTCAACGAACGCAACAAGCGCCGGCCAAAAAGCTAAACTCATAGCTCTCTTTCTACTTAGTTTTTCTCCTTTAATTTTTTTTTGGTCGCGATCTGTGGACAGGCGTATCTGTTTCCTTTTGCCAAACGACTGCGTGGCCTTTCCCCCTTTCGAGGCCCCCCAGAGCACCCGCCACCCCCAAGCGAAACGAGAAGAAAAACCAAAATGGGAAATTGAAAACGCGCAAAAAACGTTTCAGACACAAAATCGTGATTGCCTTCGTTTGGCCGCCAGACATTTTTTGTTTCTGCTCCCCGAAACTGTGCAGTGCTCCATATGTTGACGAAAGGGGTGGCGGTGGAGTGGAGTGGGGGTGGTGGGTGGTGGGTCAACGTTGGGGCGGCTCTAGGGGGCTACTTATGTAAAGCTGCATTCCAGAAAGAGCTGTTAAAATTGGACCAAGGAGTAAGTCAGTAGTTAAAAGGGAATCAGAGGAAATCTAAGTTCTGTAATAAATCAAAGTTCTGCTTGATTGACAACTAAAACAAACAAAAAATTAAATAAAAACTAATAAAGGATGCATAGCTGCGTTGTTAAATAATTTTCTTTGATTATCTAATTATACCCTAGAATTGATTTTATACGATAACCTGTAAGAAAGGATCTCAACATCAAACTTTGGATGAAATTAAAATTTTCTTTTTGCATTTAACCTAAACTGGATTTAAATTTTTTGGCTTGATTTATAGCAACTCTATAATCGTGTACTTTTTAACAAGCGAAGCGAACCTTAATAACTATTGCTTTAAACTTACGATGCATAATAAAAGTCGACTGCTTCCCGCAATGAAAAACAACAGTGACTAATATCTGGCTGACGACTTTCCTAATTGTAAAATCTCAATAAAATACTCTCACTGATTTAGTGATTTTTAACGTGGCTCGCCACTCCATTACCATTCCCATTTCCCCTCGAAAGACGCGAAAGCTCGAGCTGATTGATTAATTGCCAAGCGAAAACGAAAGACACAGTCTCTGTCGCAGATGACAAACTCCTGCCTGCAGCGCGAAAATCTTTTTCTTTCGGGGCTTCATCTGCATTTTTTTCGAGCTCGGGCCAAGAAAAGCCAAGAAACCGAACCGAAGTAAAACGAGACTTGCAAATGATAATAAATATGAAAAAGACGTGAAAACGATTGCCGCGATTTTCCCACCAACGCTTTATAGATGGTGTCTCAAAGGCAACCTGCCGTCCCTGCCGCACCGCCCCGCCCCGCCCCCTTGTTTTTCCACCCCTCACCCTCTCTCTCTTCCCCAAATTTTCCCCACCTTTTTCGCCTCCTGGAGCCGCCTCCTTTTTGTCCGCAGCTTCATCCGTCTTAAGTAGAGTGAAAGTGTTGCGTTTTGGTCTCAAACTGTGCCTGCAATCGCAATTGTTGTTGTTTAGGCTGTTGCTTATGTTATTGTTGCTTTATTTTTTAGTTGGTTTTTAAGTTGCTTGCTCTTTATTTTTGTAAGCTTTTCGTTTTCGCTGCTATTTTAGCCGGCGGACACATATCCTTGTGTTCAATCAAACCAAAGCGCCGTCAACGAGACGGACTCTCAGTTTGTTTCGGTTTCTCGGATTTCGGATTTTGGATCCCGGATCGCTGCTTTGGCTTTCGGAGTCAAGTGTTTTGTAGCTTGAAGGTTGTTTTCCACACAGCCTCCCACTGAAGGCAGGCCCACCCCCTCAGTGGTGCAGCACCACCAGCACCACCCGCACCACCCCCTTGACCCCTCACCCCATGTGGCTCAGACATGCGGCAAACATTTTTAGCGCTTGTAGTTGCCATGAATTTTTATGCAAATGAAAAATGTTTCTTGCGATTTCCATTTTTTTTCTTTTTGTTTTTCTCTTCAGCTGCTTTGTGTTTTTTTTTTTTTTTTTTTTTTTTTGTGGCCATTACTGTGATGCAATTGCCGCGAGTAACAATAATCTTGATGTATGATTTTTTTCTTTCTTCGTCGCTGTCTCCTATTATTAGAAAAAGAAAAAACGTTAAAAAATAAAGAGGAAATCTTATGCGCCTATCGTGTTGTTGGCACATTTTCGCTTAGCTATTTTTTTTTTTTTTTTTTTTCGTTGGGGGGAGGAGGGATTTTCTGTTTGATCTCATAACCGCCAGCGATGGCACGGCAGCATCATAAACTTTTAACGCTGTCCATTTCGAAATAATCAATAATTTTTGGCTATCGATGGCAATTTATTACTATTTTTCCCCCCATCGACCAGCGTTTTGTTTTCGTTTTTTGTTTTTCTGGCCGGCGGGCAGCAGCGACTGAAAAAGAGAGGAGCAAATAAATTAACACTTCCTTAAACGATAAACACCGAAATCCCCAGCGATATTCACTCGACGGCCGCGGAGAAATGCATTTCGAAATCAAAATGAAATGCCAATTGATAATTCCAGTGTCGCTGGTTTTTCTCTTAGTTTTCCTTCTTTTTTTTTTTTGGTTTTTTTGATTTGCGGGGGCGTCACGAGTTTGCCTTTCGATTCGTTTATTAATTTTAATTGCAACGGGGTGGCAACGCCCGACGGCTAAAATCCAGCCCACGGATAAGCCGAACAAATTGCGAACAACACTCCTCCGATGGGGGAGGATATATATGGCCATATGCATATATCCACTGCTGCATCCACAACGAAAGTGGGTTGCGCGTGCTCGAGGGGCAGTTGCATTTTCTGGGGAGACAAGATTGCCACAGAGCCTTGATCTTGGCCAGGTTTGAATGTAGGCAGCGTGTAGTGTTGCTTTATTAATATGCAACATCTTTCATGTAGCCAACTGGTAAGCTCCAACTCCAGCTAGAAAAAAACTGGTGGAAATTTGAATAATATATTTGAAAGTCCTAACTGCATTTATTATTTAAATATATAAGATCGGTTTGTGTTGCTAAAAACATTTTGACAAACAAAACATATGCGAGTCATTAACTCGTACAACTAATAAAATGTCAAGTAAAATCAGATAGAAAGATACACCTTTATAATTAAGTACAGCAATTGTTAAGTTACAAGTATTTTTAATTTACTTCATTAGTAATAAACTGCATTTAAGATTCACATTTAACTGGTGTAAATAATCGCCAAAGCTTTTAAAGAATACAATCTCAATTTAATGTCCGACATAAATGTGTCTAATTCATTTATTTCACTTTGATTTTGTTTACAACAGTATCAATTTCAATTCGTCACACATTTCCTTACCCACATTTTTATTGGTTTGACTTTCCCATTTATTGTTGGTTGGCCGTATTGAATTTGGCTTTAAAGCCCTGACCTTCCCATTCAGCCTTCGAATATGTAACTGCACCCAGTGCCAAATGGCATTTCGAACTCTGGCCCTCTGGCCACCAACAAAAAAAACAGACTATTGGATGACTCGAGGCATCTGGTGGCCGCAAGAGTTTCCATATATATACGAGTATTATTTGTGTTTGCCCAGCCATCTTTCATATTTGTTTATCTAGCCCCAATTTGGCTACTGCACTGGCAAATTTATGATCAGGGCGTTGCTGCCAAACATCGCCGAATGGCAAATTGCGGAGTGGCGAAATCGAATGGGAAATGTATAATAAAGAGGCGAGTGTGCCAGATGATAAGGCCAGGCAAATAAATCGCCGAGCCGAGCTAAACCCGCGGCTAAGATACCCGCCGCTCGGTGGCAAAGGGAGTGCATCCAACTGGCAGACAACAAATGTTTCCAGCCCGACGGGATGGAGATTGAGTGCAGCTCCAAGTGACGCCACACAAATGCGGCCCAAAGATTAATCGCTTAGCAAATTCGCGATGTGAAAGTGCGAGAGAGAGGGAAAGGCGGATTTCTGGCGACTGTTTTTTTTTTTCCCCCTTCCCCCCAAAAAAGCAGGCAGCAAGCTGCCAACTGCAAACTCAAAATTGCAAGCTGCTAACTCAAAACAACCAACTGCATGCTGCGTTGGATATTGCCGCTAATTGTCCTTGACGACGGAGCATCCCACATGGCATTTTGTCTTTAGCTGCTGCCGCAAATTGCTGCCGGGTATTGCTACACGGACAAAAATCTTTTCGGCAAATCATTAAAAACTAGGAAAAAACCTGATATGAACAGGGGTCAAAAATTCGACCACCGCGAAATGGAAAACTTTGAATGCAGATCGTTAAAGAGTCCCAAGACAAATTTTTTGAGGTTTACCACTTTGTAATCGGATGAAAATGGTTGGATCCTAGAAGTGCTGATTTGGCAATTCAGGATAAACTAGGAAAAATCTGACATAAGCAGGGGTCAAATATTGAACCATCACCGATTTGAAAAATTTTAACGCGGTTCGTTCAGGAATTCCATAATAAATGTTTTAGGATACGCCACTTTGGAATCGGATAAAAATGGTTCGATTTATGGGAAATGGAAGTGCTGTATTGGGTCACATTTGGAAAACCATTCGAACACAATATTTTTTAAAAATTATTCAGAAAATGCAATATTGGGTCATAAGCCATCAATACCTAAAAAAAATCTGGCATAAGCGGAGGTAAAAAATCCCTATTTAATTTAATGCTGGTGACATTTTGGACTGTGTACTTTATAGCAGCTGACTGCAACGGAAAGTGAAAACTTGAAAAATTGATTATGCAACTGCCGCAAGGACGTTTGCGGCCGAGAGGCTTGCCTGCGCGCCTGAATCTCTTGGCCCGGCCAAAACGGAGGTCGTCACACACTTGGTCTGATTTTGCAGTCATCGCACCTCCATCGCTTCCCCTCGCTGTCTTATGTCATTGTCTCCATCTCCCTCTCCTTCTCCATCTCCGTCTCCCTCTCCCTCTATTTATTATTGCAATTTTGAGGCATGCCACTAGACACTTGCCTCGGGGGCGTTGCTTGTCGTTGGTTGTTTGCCACTTTTTTAGAGGTTAAGTTGCAAGTAGGAAGCGTTCGTGGAGGCGCATTTAATTTGCGGGCACGATGCGGCACCATCAGGTAAAAATAATAAAAACGACAGCAAGGTGTGCAGAGCTCTTCTCTTTGTTTTGTTTTTTGATTTTTATGCCTGATGGGAGCGCGTTTTAATTAAGTATACGCCGCGTGAACGCTTCCATATACCATATACGGCGATGCTGGCAGATGATTTTGTAATTACAGGGAGAAAAATGTTGTCGGCAGTGGTCGTCGTTAATTTCGGGATTTTAAAAACACGGATATAAACAAATAATATTATAATCCCATGGAGGATGTTAGCCCATTATTGGAAATTAATGTTCATAAAAATTATAAATAAGAATGGCATATTAGTAATTTTCATGGGATTTTAAAGCGAATTTCACTCTGTTTCAATCCAATCGATAGTCATCTCATGCATATTGCAATAGACTCCTCATGACCTCGCTGCCACAGAGAGGTCAAACTAAAAGCCAAACTCAATTCAGGCGGTTTAATTACCCCGTCACTCGAACGTGGCCAAAATGCCAAGCGAGCCAAGGCGAGTCTCCCAGGTGGCCACCCAAAATAAAATGGCATCGGAAAGCGCGGCGAGTTCGTTGGAAAAAATGCGAGCAAGTTTAGGTGACCAAATGGGGCTGGTGGTCTGTCCAGTGATTAGCCATATAAGCTAGCAAGTTGCACATGTCGCCGTGTTTTTTTTTTTTTTTGACCACAACAACACCTCTCCCCTTGACATTTTCCAGGTGACATTGACGATTGCATTGTGACGCCGACGGTTCAGGGACAGTTCACGCCGCTGCCAGAGGCGCTCTGCGATGTGATCATGGACCTCACCGCCGAGGGTCAGTCGGCCACCATCGAGCATGTGCGCGGCAAGCTGGGCGCCCGCTTTCCCCACATGACCACGCCCGCCACCGAGGTCATCTACGACTCCCTGGCCCAGCTGATGCAGGAGCAGAAGATCTACCAGACCTCCAAGGGGTACTTCATCTTCACGCCAGAGTGAGTACAAGTTTTAAAAGGATTATACGATTATACAGAATGTATATTCAAACCATTACTGTGGTAATAATAACAATTTTTATAAGCATAAAATTTATTTAAACATTTAAATTCTAAATTTAGAACCATTACTAATTCCTCATCATCATTATTTTGAAAAGGATTTTAGGATATCTTACAACATATCATATATTTTTTATATATTAATATATTATTTATTTATTTTTATTTATTTATTTTTATTTTTATTTATTTGCATCTTCTCCAGACGCCGACGAAGTCGATCGAGGCCGCGCAGCAACCACCACCAGCTGAATGGGAGCCTGGCCTACGGCCACTTGGCGGAGGAGGAGCAGCAGCACGGGGACGATGTGGTTCCGCAGGAGGCTCGCACCATGCTGATGTCCAATTCCGAGGCGTTGCACTCGCTCTACGGCGAGATATCGACGGAGCGGGACGGCGACCTCACCCACCAGTGCATCCAAACGAATCTGGCGGATGTGATCTGCGGCGGTGAGTAGACAATTCATCAGTGAAGTAATTAATCAATGTAATCTGCAATCGATTGGTGAATAACTCACAGGCAATCCCAATGACAAGATCATCTATCCAAGGGCGGCGAAGCGACGCAGTGCCTCGTTTCCGACGCCGCGCAGCTTGGAACGGCGGCACAGTTTGCGGCTCTTTGGCTCGTCGAAGCGCCTGCAACGCTGCGCATCCACGCGAAGTCTGTCCAAGACCTACGCCCAAACGCTCAACACCACGGACAGCAGCAGCTCGGAATACCAAAGCACAGATTCGTCATCACCCAGTAAGATTATTTCATCTATTATATATAATATCTACTTAGCCTGGTTATTAATTGCTTTAGAAAAAGGATCTTTGCTCTCACGCCTTTTCCGACGCAGCGGTCGAGCCAAGCAGCGACAGATTGAGACCTATTCGGCCCAGTTCCCGCCAGCCGAGTGGTTCAACACCAGAGCCGTTCACCTGCACAGCGTGGGCACCCAGACGGCCGAGCACGTAAGCAAATCAATTTGAAAACCCCACCCCATTTAAATAAAATACTGATATGAAGGTAATATCAATGGGTAATAAAGAAATCTATACCCAAACTAAGAAAAGCTTAGAATATGGCATGAAAATAAATCATATAAAGCCTATAAACCTTAATGGTAATTTTGAGCCAGATTAAAAAAAGTCTTTGAACTTTGTTATTTTGTATTAAAATATCGGATTGCTATCACAAGTTAATATAGCCAGTTTTCCATTGTTAATGATAACAATCTCAATTAAGAGATGAAGTAATCAGGGATTTCTTTTAACCAAAACCTTTTCTTTAAGTCCCTTAAACTGAGTTCTTAATATTTTAAGCTCCAGATTTATATTATATAAATATTGTACCTTTAAATAATTTGATTGCTGTCTTTAAATCCAAAATATTAATATAAATTAATGTTACTCCTTTCACAGGACATGCCGGTGGCCCACACGCTGTCCAACTCGACGTTCTACGACGGCTCGGAGCTGAGCCAGCGCTCCTCGACGCTGCCCCGTCGCCATCGACGCCACATGTCCAGCGAGTCGACGTTTCTGATTTCCTCCAGGGACTGCTCGCCGATCCGCCGCCGATCGCCGGTGTACTGCAGCAGTTCGCTACCTCGTTCCACGCAGTCAATTCCAGCAACCACGGCCAAGACGAATCACTCGTCGCGCTTGGTTCACGGCTCGGTGACGCCAACGCCGCCGAAAACAGCCCAGAAATCGGTGATCGGGAAGCACATCTTCGAGAGCTCGCCATCGCGATCCGCCACACTGAAAGCGACGGCGGCCAAGCGCCACACGGACGGACTGGTGATCAACAGCTGTCTGGACAACAAGGCCACGTACCGGAGCCTGCAGAGCAGCGGTCCCTCGAGCCTGGAGTCCTGCAAGACCTCGATGCTCGCCAGTGGCCCGTCGAGCATCGACAGCGGCAAGGTGTCCTTCAGCCAGAAGACCAGTGGCCACTCTAGTCTGGACTCGCAGTGCTCCACGAACACGGCGGTGATAGCACCCAATCCGAGCAGCAACAACGGCAGTGCTCGATCGATCCTCCTGCTGAACGGTTCTCCAAGGGGGACACCACGTCACCAGGCGATGCGGGCACGAGTTGCCGAGGCACAGGCGCAAAGGCAAAGGGCCAGCACACCCAGTCGCATCCTCGAGGAGATGGTCTATCCCGCGGGCAGCAGCAACGGTGTGCCCACCTCGAGCAGCAATAATTCCATCACTCTGCAGGTGACCACCTCGAATGGCAACCAGAGCATCCCCAGCACCAAGATCTTTGTGCAGAACTCACCCGTGAGGAGTGTTATTACCCTGGAAAATGGGAAAATGCTGGAGAACTCCAATGTGTTCATTATCAACAACGAGACGATGACGAACGAGAAGGGCGAGATCATCAAGAAGACGTTGTCCAAACAGACTTCCGCTGCTCCGGTGGCCACTTCCACGCCCGTCAAGCCGGAAACTTTTTCCGAGCAGCCGCTCAGCGAAACGGAGGCGAATTCCGAGACCTGCGACTCCATATCCTTCATCAGCGAGAGTTCTCCGGAAAACACGTGTGCCGCGGAGGTGGAAACCCCGATTTACGATGGGGGAAAGTACGCCAAGAACACGAACAACGATGCCACCATGAACAACAGCCGGAAACTGTGCCTCCAGTTGGCCAATGGGATTGCTTACAAAAATAATGTGCTAAAGAACGAGTCACAGCCAAATTCTCCCAGTGCAGATCCCCCATTAAAACTGGCGGCGCTGGCCAAGCAGGATTTTGAGATCGCCGGCTCGGTGGGCAATCTGCATTTTTACGAGAAGAACTCGAAGGATGTGGGTGCCTCGCAGAGCAACAACATGATGATGAACAGCAGTACCGACCTCAAGAATCTGTGCTACGAGTCCGTTTGCCAGTTGCAAAAGTGCTCGATGAACGGCGATGAACTGGCGCTGGCACATCTGCTCCACAAGTCCAGCAATCCACTGGGCAGTGAACCCAATTTGGCGTTGAAAGATCTGGCGAATGATAAGTCCATTGATAAGGAGGCCATCGACAGGCGGCTGAGCTTGACCAAGGAGTCTTTGGAGCAGGGAATGGGTAGCGTTCTGGCGAATGGCGGCGAGGAGCTGTACAACTTTCCCAGCCTGACCGACTTGTCCTTCAACTTTACATCGCTGGCGGCGAGGAAGATCCTGCAGGGTGTCAGTCTGAACAGCATCGATACCCTGGTGGAACTCAACATGGCAGCGGCGGCGGCGGCGGCAGCGGCGGCCAACAATGCGCAGGAAAAGCAGCAGAACAACCAGCCGGCGACAGCAGGACCAACTGCATCCGTTTGCACCGACTTTGGCATGGTCTAAACCAAACCTGCCTGGTCTACAAAGGCATCGCCTCCTACCCGACAGAGATCAGCACTGTGGGTTTCCCGGAGCCGCTTGGCCTCTTAGCTTAATCGAACGAGTAAAAATTGTAGGGTCTAGATAGGAGTTAACTCCGCATTTGGCAAACAAGCAAAAGCAAGCAATCTTGTGTAATTTATTACGATTTGATTTCCCATTCGATAGCAGCAATTTGTATGTATTTGTTTTAGGGTTTTTTCGTCGGAAGCAAACTTTTATTTACAGTGCCAAAATACTTTTAGATTAATTTTAATGCTTATTATTTGATATGCCAGTTCGTATTTTTTGCTTTCTACCACAGAGACACCGCCAAGCGGCTTCTGTTTAAGCAATTTAAGCAATCCGATTTATGTAAAAATCCACAAAAAAAAAAAAGATACTATGTGTTACCCTTACTTTTGTGTACATTATTCTAAGTAATTGTTTATACTAACAACGCCCAAATGCAATCCTATCTATACAGACGTGAGCCGTAAGAGAACAGAGATAAACTACGAACATAGAATTTAGCACATAAAAACAGAAATACAATAATTTTGTACAAGGCCTTAATTAGTAAAGTCAGCAATAATACAAAATAAGTTCAATCACTAATAAAAAGCAATAAAAACGATATAAACGAAATCCTAAAGTTCTTTATCCATTTTATACCTCCCATCAAAAAAGGAAATGCGATCGACTGATCATTGGTATTATTTCTTTTGATTTATTGAAATTTTTAAGTCTTTTGCTTTTTCATATACATATTGTTTTGTTTTCATATACTTCGTGTTTGTTATACTCGTATTTAATATTTTAGGTTTTGGGTAGTTTTGGCTCTATAAATATGAATAATTATAGCTAATTGCTTTTAAATTAATATTCAGGGTATATACACACACGCGGTATATACGAACTTCATGTTTTAGTTACACAAACACAATGTTGGGTAAAGAAAATATATAATATACATAGCGCGCACTTATCGGGGGAAAAGTTGTTAGTTATGCTAATTGAACTACAATCATAAATCGATTTTGCAATTCGTAGAGGGGGGTTAGATCAAAAAGGGGATGGGCCCAGAAGTTGGCCAGAAGTAAATTGGTGTTTTCGAAAGATTGTAATTATACAATTAATACATATGCATATTTAGCGAATAGTTATCGTAGATCGTGGGTGTATAATATTATGCGGTTGTATGTACAAATAGTTTTAGAAACTTATTTTAGTGTGTAGATAGTGTGAAACAGACAAATGTTTAATTTATTTACATTAATATTAGCAGAGAACGAAGGAACATTTAAGAATTCACTATATACTCGTAAGCCTGTGTGGTTTTTCCTTTTTTTTGTTTGTTTGTTTGTTAGGTGTTGAAGAAAATGGCGTTCGGTTCGTTTCGATTCGGATTATACAAGATACTTCACTCTATATGCTATATAGATTTAATAATTATCGCTTTGCTCAATAACTAAAATGTACAGTAGATGACTTAGACCTCCGTCGACCGTCCGTTCTCATCCGTTCGCGAAGCCTTCCGCTCGCGTCCCGGAATCCTCCCAGTTAGCGGTTGCGCCTGCGCCTGAGCTTGTGCCTGAGCTTGGGCTTGAGCTTGAGCTTGAGCCTGCGCCTGAGCCTGCATTTGTGCCTGCTGCTGGAGCATTTGCTGCTGCTGCAGCATGTAAGCGGCCTGCGACTGCTGCACAAAGTTGGCGTGGGTATATGCCTGCATTCCCGGTGCCGCATAGACATTGCTGGGCGTGGCAATCGCTGCCGTTGGCGGCATGTTGAATCGCATCTTGGCTGCCGCCGCTGCATTGGCTGCGGCCGCAATCGCAGCTGCATTCTCCCTCGAGGCGCTGGAGGTGGTGGTCGACTGGAACGAGATACTCATGCCGCTGTCCAAAGAGCCAACGCTGCCTCTGCGCTGCGGTTTCTCATTGCCAACTGGAAGGGGATAGAGGACTAGTCAGTAAAGTCTTTAACTAAGAACAAATGATGCAAGTTGTTAAATAACAAAGCAAAGAATTGAATTTAAATTCAAGATAAATTCAAAGATAAGGTTAAAGTAAGCTATAATATTATGTGTAAAACTCACATTGCTCGTGCATGTCGAGAAGACTGTTGCTGAGCGCACTGCGCTTCAGCTGCTGCGAGGAATCAGCGGAGTTGGGAGCCTGCTCACCGGACGCCTGAGATCCCGCTTGGTAGGGACACGGACAGACCTCCACATCGGCCACGCCACTGTCACGATTCTCCGCATTGCCGGGCGCTCGATTGCGCGCCGACTTCTGGCGCTCCAGTTCGGCCTCAATGCGCAGCGACTCCATCTCGTCCATCTCGCTGATGGACTCCTTGAGATCCTCGGCGAACTTGCAGCGATCGTGTTCGTTGCGGGCATTGAAGGTGATCAGGATCTTGCCGTCGACCTTCTGCGAGAGCTGGATGCAGAACGGATAGTTGGGCATGTCCAGCAGGGTGACCACGGTGCCGCACAGCGGGAAACTGTTGCGGAACGTGTACGTCACGGAGGTCTTCTTTTTGCTAAAGATTTTGGTGATGACCAGCAGATCGTTGAACAGGAACACCTCGCGCTGATGCACACCAGGTCGCTCCTTCTTGTTCACGTCGGGAATCTCGTACAGCCGGCAATAGCAAACGAGGCGGCGATGTGGCAGCGCCAGATTCGGTTTCTTGCCCACAATCGTGGCCTGGACCTTCATCACCTGGGTGACATGATCGCTGCCCGGCTTGAACTCATCGGACTTGACGCGATCGTAAATGCCCATGAGCATATCCTTATCGATGTCATGGCAATCGTCGATGCCGCGCAGATTCTTGATAAAGTCCTCGACGCGCATGCGCCGCTCCGGCTTCAAATTTGGTGTGTGCAGATCGGTATTCAACATGATGATGGCAAAGGCCAGGACAAAGATCTGCAACACAAACATTTAATAATTAGAGGGAATTCAAATTGAAGCAAATAGATAGACCTACCGTATCAGATGATCTCAGTCGCCCCACGATGTCCGCATTGCACTCGCAGTAGCGCTGTGAGAAGATCTCCATCAGACGCTCGATCTTTTGAGCCTCGCCGGGCATGCGGAAGTAGGCCTGGAACTTACGCAGAGCCACATCCACTTGGCGACCGGACAGGTCCAACTCCATGGCGAAGCAACTGAGCACGGCCATGTTGAACTGGTTCTGCAGATTGCCCAAATACTCGCCGATCATTTGGCGGGACAAACCTTTCCGGGTGATCAAGAAACGAGCCACACCCTGAGGTGTATTCTCGAGGAATCCCCGCCTGATCAAGTAGGTGATGCCCTTCTCCGGCTTCTTGTTGAACAGATTGAGGCCAACGCGATACTGTCGCTTGCGTATCGTCTCCGACATCTTGTAGTTCTGGGCAACTCCGGCAGCGGCAGCTGCGGCCTGCAGTTGCTGCTGTTCGTGCTGCTGCTGCTCGTGTTGCTCGTACTGAGCGGCGCTCGTGTGCGATGAGATGGCATGGTCATCGGCTGGCGGGTGTCCTCCTGCCGCCGTGGCTGCTGCAACGGCAGCCTGCATTTGGGCGGCATAAATGCCGGCTCCTCCGGCCACTCCGCCGCCAGAAACCGCTCCCGCTGAGTCCGCCGAGTGCGTGGAGAACTGTTGCGAGCTATTCAAAGCCGTTCCCCGTTTCCAGGTGTGCGGTGAGTTGCTGCGATCCGAGCCCAGATCGCTGTTCATGTTGCGTTCCGCTGAGGTGACGCTCGAATCCGATCCGGAACTCTGCACGGAGGTCAGGCTGCCATTTTCGGCGGTCTTGCAGAGACCATTGGTGCGCAGCAGCGAAGGAGGCGGCGGCGTTTGGCGTTGCAGCAGGAGGAGCTGCGTCTGCTGCTGCGCTGTTATGGAGCTGGTGCGCTTGGGCACCTCGGGTGGGACCTTCTTGTTGCTGCCACTGCCGCTGCCCCCGCTGCCGCTGCCCGTGCTGCCGCTGCAGCTGGGCGTGGGCGTGGTGCTGCCGCCCTTGGGCCGCATGTAGATCTGCGCCGCCGAGTAGTAGGGCGTGTGCGGGGAGTGGCCGCTGGTGTTCACCCACGAGGCGTTCAGCGAGGTGTCCGCCGAGCTGGCGTAGCTAATATCGTGCGGCGAACCGTGGTAACTAGTGTAGTAGGCAGCCGCCGTGGGCAGGGCCTGGGCATTGTAGTAATGCGGCTCGGCCGCATGGAGCAGGTTCACATGCGGATGGGAGGCCAACGCGGAGGAGGAGGTGACTGTCGAGCTGGAGATGGAGGCGGGAGAGGCTCCTGCAAGTAAAACACTAGTTAGTAAGATCTTAAAGAAGTTACTGCAAATTAGTTGCCACCTGGATTCAAAGTGTTTAAAAACAGTTTAGCACTTCAGATGCGATTGTTTTGTTTTCTTAATTGTGTTCAAGTGGAATTTAATCATGATTGCGGTGATAAGACCAAAAACATTCCCTTGTTTAGAGATCAAACAACTTTCTTATAAGCATTGCATATCTACATTTGTTTGGAAAAACAAAGCTAAGACGCAAATATCGTTGATGTCGAGTAATTCTGACCATTTAAAAAGATTGCAAAGATAAATTTGGTTTATAAATGCTTTAAATACCAGTAATCATAACAAACAACAATTGCATTTCGTTTTTCTTTTGAGTGCTTAAATTTAAATATTTAAAAATCATATGACAAAATCATGCAAATTTGTTTTGCTTGCATTAAAAACTCAAATTAACCTTGGAGACCTTAAGTTCATTAAACCGTTATTTGATTTAAAAAGTCACCAAAAGGGTCACTCCGAAAAGATAAAGTAAACCAATAACATAAAGTTGATTCGTAAAAGTACTTTTTTGATCTTTCAAAAACATTTAAATGTTTACTTTTTGGGTGATAAATGTAAACCTTTCATAAAGTTGGCTTTCATTGATATTAAAATGTGCTTCTGTTGAGCTGAGGTAATTCATAAGACAAAGGAATTTGAATAGTCGTACTCGACTTATCTTAGAAAACACCCTAATCTGGTGCAATTCTCGTCACTCTATTTGATTTGATATCCAGGTGGCAGACGACGTTTTCGTCGTCGGCTTATCTCCTCCACTCACCTGACTGACTACGCGGAATGGGACTGCAGTCCAGCTGACGTCGCTCCCGCATGGAAAGCGATCGCGTGGGCGGCGTTCTCGATAAACCAGGAGAAGCTGCTCCCGCCGGACCCGCCATGATGGTGACACGTGGCTGCTGCTGCTGTTGTTGCTGCTGTTGTTGCTGCTGTTGTTGCTGCTGCTGTTGCTGCTGCTGCTGCTCGACGAGCTGAGATTCGGTGGCACTGCCGTAGGCAGAGGAGGAGGAGGCACCCTCCTCGGCCAAGCCAAGACTACTGGCCGTCACCACCATGCGTCGGCTGAGACGCTTCTCGGCCTTGGCCATGGCCGTGATCGAGGCGAACTTCTTGACCATCATGTAGTGGCGGAAGGCGCGCTGAATGGTCACCGCTGCGTTGCGGGCTCGCACTCCGCCGTACTTGCGCTCCAGCAGCTCGATCTGCTTCTCCAGCAGATCTTGTGAGAGTTCGTAGCTGAAGATCGAAGAGATATATGCATTCGATAAGTATTATATTTTTGGTATCCGGTGTGAGAGTGCGCGCTGCTTGGTTGGCTGGAAATTTGCAAATAACTGGCTGAAATCTACGCCGGAGACCGAATGTTTTTCGTGCCCCGCCCGATAAGATAGCGCACGAGTATCTTTGAAATACAATTCTCTGGCGGCGTCACTGTCGCCCCTTCGGGCGGGCTATCGACCTGATTAACATTCGCTTCTCGAGCGGCGGCAATATTACCGCTTATTGTTGCGCACAAGCAATCGTTTATTTCGATCGATACTCCACCAGCAGACAGTCGAAATTAGTCAGCACGAACCAATCAAGTGACTATAAATGATAAACTATTCTGGGACTTTCCCCGCATTTGCCAAATGAAATTTTAAGAGACAGCTGCATAATTGCCCCCCTCTGATTTTTTGTTTGTTTCACATCAGATGATGTACTGCAGTAGGCAAATATTTGCCTGGACATCGCTATCTTGTGGCGGTTTCTAATCTAAGATACCACCTGTAGTATATCCCTCCCAACCACTGCCAAATGATGACTTTTCAAGTGGCAAACGAGCGGACAAAGTCCGCAATCATTTAGCTGACAAATAGTCAATCCCCAAGGCACACTTTTACTTTTGCAGATAACTAATTAGATAAGCGATGAGCTTCTGTTGCTACCCTTCAGCTTGATGGATTGTTTACACAACAAATGGCGAAATACTTGAGTAGGCAATTAATGTTCCTCAAATCTGTCTGGTTGAGAAAGCGATTCATTCTTAGTCTCATTCTAAGCAAATTTGAGCAGAGAAACCAAAACTAAGCATTGCCATTCGTTTTTTGTTTGTATACAGCACATTCTCCAGATAATGAATACTTAATCATGGGAATTCTTTGATAACTGATAAGCACTGCACTGTGAATAAGTTGAGGCCATGAATAACTTATTGCTGATTTTTGGACACTGATAAATGCATATCTTTGATTAAATAAACTGAACTAAAAAAGCTTATCAACTATGAAGCAACTTTCTAGAAAAAGAAAACTAAATTTAACCTATCATTGAGTAAAAATAGGAAAAATACTTTAAAAATAAAGAATGATTATCTTATTATATCCTCCGTTTTAAATTGAATGATTATTTTTGTACAGCTCTCTAATTCAATTTTATAAATTCTGAGATACCAATTCATTAATTTTGTTAGTTCCTATACAAACTGTTTAATTAAAAGTAAAAAACAACCATCTGTTCTTCATTAAACTTAATTGCGGTGATGCCTTCTGTAATCTCCCCCCAATATACATTACATTACACAATTCGATAGCGAAGTATAGGGAAGAACCTCCCATATTCTGACCCTGAAAAACAAATTTTGATAAGGAATACTTCCTGGAAATCTCCCTATTGCTCCCCCGAAAAATCAACATTTATGACTGCGCACAATTTCCAACCAACCCCCCTTGAAACCATTCCTTGTTGACATTTTCCCCTGGAAAATCGACTTACGCTGACTGAGCTCGCGTTCGCTTGAGGACATCGCCGCCATTCCGGATGGAGTTCTTCTTGTGCATGTTCTGCTGCTGCTGCTGCTGTTGCTGGTGCTGCATGATCACACTGGTGGCTCCGGATCCGAGGCCAGTGCCCACACCACTGCCGGCAATGACCACCGCACCACCGTGACCGTGATGGTGGGCATGGTGCCCGTGGCCGTGGAGCATGTGATGGTGGTGATACTGGCCACCCGTTGCCGTCACCTGCATGTAGTGACCTCCACCAGTTTGGTGCAAGTGCTGCTGCTGCTGCTGTTGTTGCTGCTGCTGCTGGAGGTGCTGTTGTTGCTGCTGCTGATGGCACGTGGGATACTGCTGGATTTGGTAGACCATCTGGGGATGCTGTTGCGCAGGATAGTTGATGGCGGCCGAGGAGCTGTGCGCCCCGGGGGCATAGTGGTTCTGCAGGTAGACATATCCACCGACGCTGCCGCTATCTGTGCAGGTGGAGGAGGCATTGGCGGACCCCGGCTGTTGCGCCCCAGCCAGCTCGTACTGGGTGGAGCCGCTCCGCTCGAGGCTCTTTTGGGGAAAGCTGCAAGTGGAAGAGGAAAGAAATAGGTTGTTTAATAAAGTGGTTTTATCAGTAGTTCTTAAGAGACATTTATAAAGGTGAAGCAGACACTTCCTTCACTTGCAATAATAGCAACAAGTTACTAATCGCTTTATCAACCTATCGAAGTCTTTAATCAAACATTTTAAGCACAAGTATTGATAGTAAAATAAAAACGGTTGGTATTTGTATTTTAAAAAAATATTAAAAATAGATACAAATTGTTTAAAGGTTTTTAAAGTGAAACTTAAAATAAATCTTTTTGGTAAATGGTAAACAACATTGATTTTGTTTATCAGCCAATTAATCACATTAAAAATAGGTAATCCAGGTCGTCGAAAATCATAATAAATAACGACACCTCTTAGGAATTCCCAAATTCGATAACAAAACCAAGCCTTGTTATTTATTTGTCCGAAGTAGAAGATAAGAGAACTTTCGTTTTCTGGGTCAGGCAATGGGTTCCTACCTTTCGCCAATTATAAAACCCGATATGCAAATGATCATGGTGAAGAAAATATCACAAAACACCCGAGATTTATGCACTAAGGCGGTGGTGGTGGTGGTTTGGTCTTTTTAGAAACACATTGGAACACAGTTGTATAGACCGAGAGAATCACAAGATCGCCGCTAGATCGTTAATTAATACGCGACTCGCGATCGCTTTACAATGATATTCAAATTAAGTGTCGGTGGGTTGGAAGAAGAGGAAGCAATAAAATCCGGCGGATGGGAACCATATAGATGGTTTATGTATATAGAGTGGGAGCAGGGTAACGTCCGATCCCGTCGATGTTCGCGTTTGAACTAAACCGAGCGCTCGAAAACCCATCGAAAAGGTGATCGACGATCCACAAGCGGATACTTTGGGAAGAACCAAACTGCGCAAGCGCGTCGGCGGCCACTCTCTCCTTCTCTTTCTCTCTCACACGCTCTGCTCATCTCGCTTCCTCCAGAAACGTGTTTCGCATGGCTCATTAAATTGGTGTGCGTGTGAGTGATCATTATACACCTACACACACACACACGCAAACCCAAAGGAAGAATCCCACACAAAATGCATCTGTTTTGTTTTGCCCTCGTCGGGTTACCCAAAAAAGAACAATTGTTCTACCCCGGGACAAAGAAAGCAGAAAAAAATATAGAAATCCTAAGCGTAAAAGGATCCATTATTGAAAGGAGATAGAAGATCGAGTAGAGAGAAAGAGATAGATCACTGCCATATGTTGTAAGGAAAGTGAAGGAAATGATTAGCCCACGATGACAAACTTATTGATCGAGGGACCCTCGATGCTATTGGATTGAAGCAACAATTGTGGGGATAGGATAGCAGATTTTTTTGGCATTGATTTATAAAGGATGCAGGACTTTTAGGGGATGAAGTGCAGAAAATTCCAGAGGTGAAAACTTTACGAGATAAAATCTTTTAACAAGGAATCAAAGGTGGAAGGTTAATACCTTTTTTTAGAGATTCGGTTAAGAAATTGATTGGGACTTATATTTATTATTTCACCCTAAAATGCTTACATGATTTACACAGATTTGTTATGCCTCAAAAAGAGATTTATAGAACCTTTGCTAACCCATTATACACTTCCTTTTTCCATTACGCTCCCGTTAATCTCTCCACCTTAACACTTAATTGATTTTCCCTTAGCTAAAAGACGAGATAGATTACCCTGAAAATCATAATTCGATCTGCTAGAAAAACCAGATAATTCATTATCTACGTATGCAATACGAATGACTACCAGAAATCGCCTCGCAGCGGGACCATTCCAGAAATCTACATTAAAAACTCGAGGGCAGCTGCATATTTGCACCTAGCTGGATCGTCGGACAAAAACAGGATCAGCAGGATTGCCGAAGGATAACGAAAACAGAAAATTGAAAGGGGCATCCTTGTTGCCCATGTCTCCTTTCCACTCTTTTTCGCCAGTTTTCCAGCTGCACCTGGCGTGGATTTGTATGGGTTTCCTACACACTCTTTTCAATTTCTGAAAGGACAACAGCGGCAGGTAGTTTTGCCTGCCGAACTGGCTTGTTATTGTAGCCACTTCTCCCTCGGCGTCGCATCCCTCTGATTTTTTAAGAGTCCTGCTTTCAAGAAGGAAAAACATCTGCCACACGTCGCCCTAATTGTTTGCCGTTGCACGTTGCACATGTTTCAGCTAAAATTTAAAAGCCTGTCCGTCGACAGTCTGTTTGACCAACCAACCAACCAGCCAGAGAGCAAGTTGTATCTGTGTATCTGAGTGTCTCGTATTTTGTATCTTGCATCTCGGCTGACACTTAGTTGTCGATGCTCGCGAGCCAAATGTGCAGCGGACTTCCTCCTGCTTTCGTATGCAACAAGTGTCCAATTCGGTTGACGTGACCCAACCGCTGATGGCCTACTCGCCGTAATTATTATTGATTTTACATTAGATTTCTCGGGTCTTTTTATGTGCATTTTGAAAGGGGGCTTAACGCTTATGGAGTGTGCCACAAGCGGGCCAGACATTTGGGGTCGGGGAACTGGGAACTGGTAAAAACTACAAACAGACCGCTGCCTCGCATTCAGTGTATTTCCATGAATATCAACTACAATATTAAAAGCTTATTAGGCACTTGAATCCCGGATTCGTCGCCGGGCTTCCCATCCCCTTACGGGATCCTCCCGCGATCGATTGGCTTCCAGTTGATAACGGTTCCTCTCCGCTGGGGAATCCTTGCTCTGCATCAAAATGGCCAGAGGAACACCCAGAACAACCAGGACAACGCAAGCGTAGATAATCAGAAAATATGTAAGGTCGAAAGACTTCAACTCCGGCATCTTTCGAAGGTGGTGTTTTATAATCGGCTCCATAGCGGTTTTCTTTTTGTTGTATAGATTTTCCGATCAAGTCAAGAGGCAGCCAAAATTTGTTTTTATAATTTTGACAAGAATAGCAGAAATTTGACAGATAAGTGTCGGAAGAAAAGATCTTTTTATATACAAAATAAAATCATTCAAATCTTACTGTTCTTTTTTTTTTTAATTTTCTTATTTGCAACTTTTAGGTTTCCACGTTAAACTTATTTTTTACTTGTGGACTGTATGTATTTGACATTGTCATATTTATTTGACATTTAAAGCCTATTGGTATGCAACAATGTATTCGTGTAAAACGATCATGTATCCACATAGATCCAAATGGATTCCACAATGTTAAACAGCAAAGTTTCAAACCCTACTTTACCTAAAAAATAACACAACTTGTTTTATAATACAAAAGTAATGTTTTAAATTTCAAGGTTTAGAATGTAAAAGGTATCCAATCTAGCGAACCACCCTTTGCTTAAACCAGTAGCCCTTTGATCTTACGAGGCAAAGTAATAAAATTCCAAGACCCAAACATCCCAGCCATAAATATTTACAGTACTCTCTGATACGCTCGGTATAAATAAATAAGTAAGTGGGTGTATCTCGACCGATACTTTCCGGCCAAGAATAGTCAGCCCATAAAACGGCTGCGAGCCCAAGAACAATGTCGGGGTTCCATAAAGATAACGGATAATAACGAATGGTTTGCGATAAGCACTTCACTCAAAACAATCATACTAGATTGCAAAAAGTTTGATTTAATTAGTTTAAATTATAAACCTTAATTTCCGTGACCTAATAATTATTACCAAATGTATTTATTGAAGAAAAAACAATAGTAACCTGATTTATTAAGACAAACCATATTGTATTCCATGGGGATATTCAAATGGAAATGGCCATAAAACTATTTACATATCTTTTGACATTGTGCTACTTAAGTTATTGTTTGTATGGCTTAATTTTTTTAAAAGGCCTGTAGTAAATAGCCTAGATTGCAAACAAGTTTTTGTTTATACATTTCCAGGGATTTTTTTCTCTGAGTGCCAGTGGCACAGCTGGATTGAAATCGGTTTGCTTTTTGAGTATTTCTCGGGATCCGAGTGTGGCGCTTGCTTACCTGACAGCCGTCACATGGTGCGAGGTGTGCGTCTGGGTCTCCTTGTGCCGCGTGGACAGACTGACCACGGTGACGTGCCGCGTTGCGGTGCGCACCACCCGTCGCACCCGACTCCGCCCATCGCCCACCACCACCACGATGGGCGGTGGCCTCTTTTCGCTGTCGCTGCAATATTGCAGGAAGGATTCACCACCGCCTCCATTCAGATCCGAGTGGCTGGAGTGGATGTGGTGTCCTTGCGAGCGGGTCGACGAGGAGGAGGAGTGGGAGAGGGAGGACAAAGGAGCCGGAACGGGCAGCTGTTGGCGGCGGGACTTGTGGTTGTCACACCTGGACATTGTGGTTTGCGGTGCTCTTCATGCGATTCGGGGAACGAAGAGGGGCGGCTGTCACTTTCGCCTTCACAGTCATGCAATTGTATTTTATTGTATTTTTTGATGGAACTTCCCCTTTTGTGTGTTAGAAATTCTTCGCTTTGTTTGGGTTACTACTTTCGTTTATTCATTTGCAAATTGATCTGTTTTCTTTATGTCGTGTCGATGTTTGTTGATTGGGTTTATTAATTTATTTACGAGCAGCTTCGCATCATTCTTTGCCATTTTATCTTTGGTTTAGTTTTGGAATTCCATGTGTCGCGTCGCGCGGCTACATACTTTTTGATTAGTTCATTTGTTTCTTTGTCACAATTCAGAGTCAGCGTTAGAGCCTGCGATAAAGAATTTCGTTCGGTTCGATAATAATTGCAATTTGTTCACCGTGACATTTCCGTTAGCCAAAGCCACTTTTTGTTGTTCACGTATTGCGTATACGCCCCGTAAAACGAGCGTGCGTTTCGGAACGCCAACGATTGAGAATGCCCTTCAAAGCGCGGTTGTCATAAACACAATTCATGGAATAGACTTTATGACTGGCAATTGCCGGGGTTAGAAAGCCAGTAAGTCAGTGAAAATGGGAAAGAGAGAGCAGCTGAGAACACGCAGATCATTCAGAACTATAGGTTTTCGGGATGAATTACAGACTGTTCTATACCCCAGATATCTTTGATAGTTGTTTGAGAATCTAGGCACCACAATACGCAATAAAACTCAATATTTTAAGCACGCCATCTACCTTATTCAACTGCACTGATTCACCTTTTCATATGAATCACTTGTCAAATAAGGATAGTTATGGAATTAATTAAGTTGACATATATGGACCGCTGTGGATTTTAGTTAGATGTTGAAACAGTTTAATTGGGAGCCATTTAAAATTCCAACTGAGTCATAAAACAATCTAAATGTTTAATTTCGTAAATGTGTATCATTAGATGGTTTAGTTTTGTTCAGAACATCAATCATTGAAACGAGGGATATAAACAAGACTTTTGAACATGTTAATATGATATTACCGTTCGCCTTAGAAGTCATTAACATCACAACTAAATAGGTAAATGTTTTAGAATGTTTTAAGTGGTGAATAAATATAGTATTTGTGACTTTTTTAGACTTCTTGCCAGCCCATCATACCCGCCTCTACTCAATGAACCCACTGGGTGCAGAATGACACTTGCAAAAACAGAATTGTTTTTGTTTATTAAGGCCTCAATGAGAGAGACACAACTCGCAGTTTGCAGTTTGCAATCGCATTCAATCAGCTTTGCGGCTGTTCCGCTTTTTGGGTCAGCGTCGATTGCTGATCGTTGATCGGCGTCGATCGCAAGTAAAAGTCGCAAATTGTCAACTGCAGACTAGAAAAAACAAAAAGCGAAACAGTAAGCCGGAGAGAGTGGAAGCGGGACTGGCGAATAAACAATATTCAAATTGAATATGTCAGACACGCAGACATCGGGCATAACAACATCGATTTGGCACCAAAGCAGACAGGTGTATACAATATATACCCCGATATATGCATAGTATTCCGAAATGATCCAGACACACGAGGGGCCTCGAAAACGTGCCTTGGGAAAGTGCGATCTGGCAGTGGGCCTAGACTTTTTTTCTTCTTGTTTCTGTTGTTTTTAGGAGCGATCGTGGGTGATCTGATTAGCTGATTAGCAATCTACTGACCTGATCCACTTTGCACACAAAGGCAAAGGCCGCGTGATCATAAATCATATGAAAATTTATGTGCGAAGTGCGTGAGAATTCGCAATGAAAACAATGAATAGAAAGGGAAATATACACACTCATACCTTGTACACACACACACTAAAAATGTGTGATTGTCCCAAGATCAAGATCTCTATATGGTTATAAATATGTATATATGGAAATCTCTGCCGCAACCCCCACACTTTCTTTCTTTTTGGATTTTTTGTTTTCATATATATTTCGACGTAAAGTTCAAGAACCTTTTTCGAGAGCCTCAAGAGCTTGAAAACGATCCCGAGACATCTCTGTTACAATTGTGACAACACTTGCCACTGCCCCTGGTGATTGTTTCGTCATACTATACTCGTGTACGTACATACGCTATATACCATCCATAAGAACCGAATGAATCGAGTAAAAAGCTGTTCAAACACACGAATTTCGCTGCGACCGGGCGATAATCTCACGACTGGGGCCCAGCCTTGGAACAAGTCATGGAATTATTGGCCAAAACAAGTCGCCTACTGCCAATATATAAACGCTTCAGGGGAGTTCTCAATCACAATCGCTTAGAATGCTGCCGGGGCCCACTCACAAAATACAACAAAAAGCAAAAAAAAAAAACACCAGAAAATACAAGTCACAAGCGCACAAAAAGAACAACTGAATGCTAAAAGCTGAATATTTGTGTTATTTAGCAACTATTAGTGTTTGTGGCTTTTCTAGTTGTTTCTGCTGCCTGTGACTAGAACAGTTCCAACTTGTTTTCCTTCTTTATTCTTATGTTTCGTTCGCTTCTGAGAAACTTTTGTTTGTAATTGCAATTTTGTTGAACAAGTTTTTCGTTGTTTTAAAGTTTATAAGAAAACGCTGTGGCTTTTCTGGTTCACTTTAAATTACAGTGGTTGTAAGTTAATTACAAGATTAAGGTTACTTTTGTTCAAAGAACTAATTTTAAAGTTTTAAGGTGTTGTCTACTTGAAGGAAATTCATTCAACAAAAACCTTCACAATAATGCTAATAGTCTAAATAAGCTTTATTCAAATAAAAAATAAAGAATTTCAAATCGAACATTCAACCAGTTTATCGCCTTCATATTTTTGTCTCAAAGATCAATAAAACTTAATAAAGAATACCAAATGTCTTCTGATGTATGTATTGTGTTTTGGCGATTTCAGCTATTAATTTTAATTGTATTCCAAAGTTGAGTTTTGAGAACGATCACTGTACAGTATATACATATGTAGTATATCGGCAGAGCTTTGGGACTATGCTGGCTAAATCTAAAGCTGCATCCGCTCTAGAGCACGACAACAGCATCGGCTAAGGTTCCATAGCTGCAGCTTTTGTGGCTGCTGCAGATTGAGCTGCCTTTGTTTTACAGGTGTTCCACTGCACGAGCAGCAAAATCAGTGGCGAGTGCAGGTAGGAGAAAAAAGCAGCGACGGCAGCCGCAATCAGTTGCAAAGCTGTTTTCTTGCTTGTGTTGTATAATTATTTAATTTATAATTATTTGTTGTACGCTCTCCCGCTCTCACACAAATACTTGGAAACGAGAACGGAGTTAAATGCACAGAAAAAAAACTATAAAACCACTGATTTTATTAAATTATCGAATAATAGTTATGTAAATATTTCAATACCAGAAGTATGTGTTCTACTTGTTTTTACCACGTTCCAATAAATGTTATAAAATTTTAAAAGCAAATGTCACAAAGCAAGAGCCTTTGTCATAACTATAACACACATGAACAAAACTTGATGCATTTTTTAGTTCTATAAGATAGAAACTCCAATATGTGGATTAATTTGAAAGATTTTTTTTCAGTGTTTTAGGGAAGGGCTAGGGGAAGTGGGCAGGATGGGGGAGCGGAAGAAGAGGAAGAGGGACAGCCCGTGCTCAATGCTTTTTATTCACTTTCGTGTCATTAGTAACGGCGCACGTAACAAAAAGCACGAACACACAGTCACTCCTTCTCTCCCGTTCCAGTCGCTTCCTCTCTCTTTCTCTCCGGCTTCTCTTCGAGCGGAAGAGGAAGTGGAAACTCAATATGCAACAAACATCGAATGCGGCGACGCAGCGTAATTGGGTGGCAAGCGATTATACAAGCCTGGCCAAAAGGCAAAACAAAAAGCCAACAACTAAATGCAGCCAAAGAGCAAGAGTCATAAAACAGACTCGAAACCAAAAGCAAAGTGATTCAATAATCCAAAAGCAGCGAAAACGCACTGGGAAATGCATCACTTTTTCCGAGAAAAGAGAGTGGGCAAAGAAAAGAGAGCTCAAAGATTGATTCCATATTTTTTGGATCAACGGCTTTTTGCTTTTCAAGCTTTGTTTACCTCACTGAATCAGCTGATTAATGAAAAATAGTAAAAATGCAAACGATTATTAAATAAGAAAACCCAATAGGCATCTTATAAATTTTTAGTCTCTCAAAAATCAGGACAAACTCTCATTGCCTGTTAAGAAAAGTAGAATAAGCCACAATCAGAAGTTCTTAATGCTTTTTAAAAATCTTTATGGACCATTTAAATCACTTTAAGTGTTTACGAGTGTTGCATTTTAAGTGCCAACAAAAGGTGATTCAAAAGGTAAACCCCTTTACACCTGGCATTATGCTAAATCAGTGATTCAGCGATTTTGGCGGTCAACTCGGGCAGACTTTTCCCGGGAATGCCTCGAATTTTCGACTTTGAAAAACTGCGCCCCAAGCACTTGCTACGAATTCAATTACAAAATAGTAGAAATTTCCAGTTGGATCCACACTCGAAAATACAAAAAACACACGCGATTCATGTGTAGTTTTTTTCTGTTTATTTTTTGTTGTGTTTTTTGTGTGTTTGCCGAAACGTAACGGGGCAGTGGCCGTGGATCCCGCTTTTTCCACCGATCCCGCTCTCTAGCCCTCTCTCTTTCGCACCCGCTACTGTGTTTTTTTTTATTTCTGCTGGTGGCACTATTGTTTTTGTGATACACTCGACGCTTGGAGAAAGGCGATTTTCTCTTTAATTATATTTTTATTTTTTTACATCAAAAAATTGTGGCTTGTTTCCGTTTTGTCTTATTGTGCTTTATTTGATTTATTTTGTGGCTTGGCGGTGACACAACGATGTCAAATTAATAAACAAATAGCAATACAAAAACCCAACAGCCAAAAGTATAAGCGTGTAAGAAATTTGGCAATTTACGGGTTTTTGTTTTTAACCCTTTCTGGTTTTCTTTTCATTTAGCACTCACACATACACTTTAATTTGCATTGAATTCATAAACAATTTCGAAACATGTATATTTTTTCGGTTATTATTTTTGTTGGCCAAAAAGCGTTAATTAAACAATATATTTGGAATATATTGGTTCGTTGAAACACACACGATCGGCGACTGCGCCGCGGGCAGTGCTGCAAACTGCGACTGCGAAAGGTGTAACCTGCGAGGAAAACAACAAATAGCGCGAGCAGAGCGACGTGTGTGCTGCCTCCACGAAGCTTGAAAATAAACTGAGCAAGTTGAATTCCGTTGGAGAGTGGAAGAGAGTGGTCGTGTATTGGTGAGAGAGCTTGTGGCTGCTGCTGTATTTGTTATTGCCTATTGGCCAAGTTTGTGGGCCACTTAAAATGCTGGCTAATATTGTTGTTATTTTTACAGGCAGAGTACTAAGCTGTTATTTTCCACTTGATCTGTTTCAAAGATCGATACCTAAAAATAACACTGAGAAACTTGATCCTTTAACCAAAAGTACAATATGATAGCTAATGTTTTTTGCTACCAAAAGAATTGAGCAGTTATTTTGGTCTCAATTCCTTACAGATAAAGAGTCCCAAATTTTTTAGCAAGCTGGTCAATTATTTTATAAAATTTTTATGGTATTATTGCATTAACAAAATCTTAAAGATCCCAAACATTGTTTAAAAATATAATAAATTTAAATCCAATTATTTAATAATTAGCCATTCTTAATTTATTTTGAAATGGCCTAAGCTGTATAATTAAGTTATTACATAAAAAATTAAAAACTGAAATTGGAAAACGCCTGAAACAATTTACATTTACTACTTATCTTTATGTGTTTTGTAGCTCCACACACACCTGCAGCTAGCTCTCTCACAAATTTTATAAGCGTTGACGTGTGCTGTCACAGTGGGTCTAATTGTTATTATATAACCCACCGTATAACCCACCATATAACCTACCGTTAAAGTGCAGCAGCTGCTAGAAAGTCAACCGCTCAATTATCTTCACTATTTGCATTTTAAGCGAGCTAAAACTAACTCAATTTAGATTTCAAAGCTTGTAAAGTTTTCAAACTGGGAGTTTGAGCGGTGTGTGTTTTTCCCACTTGACTCCATTGTCAAAAATTGGGTAATTGCAAAACAGATCCGAAAATACGCATACACATAAATCGACAAACAGTCGTAAAGAGGTGTAAATTTGTATGCAAACGACCGAATCGCACACATACAAATCACCTTCCAAGCCAAACTCGAAAATTGGAATAAATACAGGGAGCGTAAAGCTTGGCTCTCGAAGAGCGCCAAAAACAGCTGCTGCAGCTTGCAGATGAGCGAAAGAAAGAGAGAGGGAGAGCATGTGGGAGACCCTGCAATAAAAGCGTGTGCTGTGCCAAAAGCAAAACATAAATAAAAGAGAGTCTCCATATTCAATAAACGAAGACCTAGTATCCTATAAGCATGATCAATCCCCAGCTTAACGTTAAATAATCGTTTAAAAATCTATTTGTATATATGCTTTTAAATACTTTCCAAAAAAAAACTTTTAAAATTATAATTTGTATTCTAAAAGTTATGGGAATATTTTCTTTAAACAAAACCTTTTTAGTAGACATTCATTACGAACATAGTTTGCAGCAACACGGAAGTACTTAATAGACAGGCATACCGTTTTTTATATTTTTCAGATGCATATCTACCTAATTGATTCCACCCCAGAACGTGGCACGATCGGAACGAGCAAAAAGTGATAATACCCCCTGTCGAGGGTATATCGATTGTGGCTGCGCTCGTAGTCGAACAATAAGCTGGGCTTACGTTACGCTCAGGTGACTCACGAACCGAGCGAACCGCACTAAACCGAAGGGCGAGCGGGGGCGCTTTACTGCCGATGTTTTTCTGTTATTGTTATTGTAGTTGTTATTGTTGTTGGTTTTTATTTTTATTGCTTTTATCGTTGTTGTTGCTGCTGCTGCTGACGTCTATACACACATATACGTAGTATGTGCCATATGGAGAGTCATGTGCGCGAGTGTGCGGCATTACGGCCTGGTAGTTAACTTGGTAGTTGGTCTCTGCTAGTTGGTAGTTAGTCGCTTGCGGCGGCCCGCTAACAAAATGGGCAGCGTAATGCCTCACTGGCTTCCACTCCGCTCCGCTCCGCTCAGCGGCTGAGCCAAGCGTTAAGCCCGATGACTGGATGACTGGATGACTATATGGCCGTTCGAGTATCTCAGTGTGTGTTTCAGACAACAAACCATTTATATCCGGACCTGCGGCCTGTTTTGACTTTTCATTGAAACCTGCTGCTGCACAGAGAAGAAATATTATTCGTTTTTAATGACCGATTTTAAGGTCTTTTGTTTCAGAAACAACTAAATATCAAAAGCGATCCAGTGAGACAGTTGAATAAGGAAGTGGTTAAACCTATTAAGTGTATTGAATCGAAAGGAACCTGATTTATGAACAGTTTAACCAATTTTATGTTTCCATAAAAACTTGAAACTTGACTAAAGAAAGTATTCACATTTTGCATTATACAGAGTTGGTTTTTAAGTATCTTGTTTTTTAGACAGTTAACACCTTAACCTATTAGGTGTAAAGATGGAAGAGTGTTAAATTGCACAACATTCGAAAAAGGAGTGTTAGCATTTCGAAACCCAATTTTGATGTGATAATATCAAAACATAAATGACCTCGTTTTTATCTCACTGTACTGCGGACACTGTCATAGCTGCGGCATCGTTAAAACTCAAGTCGTAAACATATGCACACATAAAACCAAAAGTTTAGCCACAGTTGTTCCCTGTACAGCCCCTCTGCTTGGCCCAAAAGCTGGCTGATATTAACGCATTAGGTACAAGGTACACAAACCCATTTGCCATACTTGTCTGGGCCGAGTCTCAGAGCCTCAGCTGTTATGAAACAATAAACAGCCGTCAACGATGATGACAGCCCCCAAGAAACAACAAAAGCCCAGTGCGGCGAGGGTTGGCAAAGGTATTTTAATTAAGCCCCAGCCATCATCGGCAGGGGTTGCAATTGCGCCGCGAATTCAAGGTACAAGGAATCTTTAATTAGACCGTAATTTATTTCCTTTGTGAAGTCATCTTCTAAGGCGAAGCTTTGGGATACAATGGGGCATTAAGAACTAACAGGTGACGTTAAGGGATTCTAATACAATTGAAGTTGTACTGCAAAAGCACATAAAAAAAGTCATTACAATTTTTACTATTAAACGTATCATATCGTTTTAATATCAACATTTAATTTATATATCCCAGATAAGCAGAATGCAATTAGATAAGTCAAATAATAGTAGTGACGTCATAAGAATAGGTTAAAAAATGTTCTATTTATTAATTTTATAAAAGTTGTAGACTATACATTCTTTATAGGTTTCCTTGTATCCAGACTTGAAGATGTGATCCTATATAATCCTATAAATAATATAATTCCAAATGTCCCCACATTTCGCTATTAACTCTTGAATCTCCCCACTGCACCTTTGAATCTCGCGCATGAAACGCATTTTATATTTCATTAGTAAACATCGCGAAAGCTCCGTCGTGTGTAGTTACTAACTATGCGATTACCTCGTTTACCCCGATCCCCCACTAAAACCCCCAATTTCCCACCCGTTGCTCGTTCGCTCGCCTGACCTTAGGCATTTTGAACCCAATTTGTAAACAGACGAAGGGCAGGCAGATGGGAAAGAGGAACCTAAACAAAATTCACAACAAGCCAACAGACCTTCGCTCGGTCCGCCCCAAAACAGAAAAGCCAGCCAGCAAAACGATTGCGAGAGCTTAGGGCCCCGCCGATCCCCGATTCCATCCCCCGTGACTATAAACTATATATAGTATAGTATAGCCAACCGATTCCTACCTTCAACTTGCCGCTGGCGGGGCCATTGAGTTGCTCATTCGGTCATGGCTTCACAAGGCTTACCTACTGAAAAACTACTACTGCCTACTGCTGAATCGCCGGCTTTTGGGCTCATTAGAAAGTGAACGCTGAGAGACAAAACGCGAGACAATGGACTTGAGTCTCGGGAGCGCGGCTAATGAAGCCTGACAGGGCCGATATCGGGCAAGGGATCGGATCACGATCGCATCACGATCGAGATACCCTAGCCCCTGTCATTAGTAGGTCTTTCTGATGCAATTTCTCTATACACTTGCTGGGGGTACTTACTGTACAGCTAAGACCCATTACGCCAAGTTTCACTTTCACAGGTATTTGCTGTAATTGAATTCGAAGAAACTTTGCGATTCGAATCCATATTTTTCAGTTACAAATGGCATTACCTTAAACTTTTAGCTCTGTAACCAATCAATCGTATTATTTTTCAAGTCATATTAAAGAAACTTTCTTTTCCTGTGAACTAAAGGAATACAAATGTGTTGTCAGGTTTTCCTGTTCACATAATATCAAATTTTGTGTTATTATAAATTAAGTACAAATCAAGAGCAATCATAACCCAGTTACCCGTTAAGATTAAGTAATGCAATTATTAGTTCCTCATTTTAAGAGATTTTTAACTTAAACTTGAAATTACAAATCACATCTGCCAAAGATAAGATCAGTTTGCAAGAGTTTACCGATCTTCGCTGCCCGATATTACCAACGCATTTTTTGTGTGCTTCATTCAATTAAATCAAAAGTAAAGCGCACGAAGATGAGCCAGTGACGGATGATGAGATACAAATGAAAATGTCGAAAGAAAACATGAAAGAGCCAAAGCTGAGGGGTAGAAGGGGGTGATACGAAAAAGATACAACAAAATTATGTTAGTGGGAAATTTTTGTGGTTTCATGAAGTACAAGTACAGAGAGTACAGCAGAGTACTCAGAGTACTCACACTCACTGGGTTCGGAATCGGAATCGCAGCAAACTTCACTTTCACTTGCACTTCGCCTTGCCCACCGCTCTTGTTGTGGTGCCGGCCATGAATGGAAAAAAAATACAAAAAAAAACCCCCAACCACCACCACCCCCTTTTCGCCCCTCATTTCGCTGGGCAGTGGTTAAGTTTTTCGTATTATTATTTCTGTGGAGCTGCTTCCATACCGCCATACAGCCATACCGCCAGTGGCGCCTTCATCAATCAACGAGCGGCGGCTCCGAATCGCTCGCTGCTCAAGTGGCACATTGGGAAAGTTCGCCCACAAGGGTTCTGCGCTGCTCGTTAGGCTCTAAATCACGTATCACACGCCCACAGAAACCAGCCACCCTCACATCAGCAGAGAGAGAATCAAGAAGATAATACATTTGATT